TAGCTTTACTGCATTTTTATTTGTGTCTGTTGGGTACATGTGTTTAGGATTTGGTCTTGTTATGTGGCGTTACTGGACACTCAAAGCTGTGGCTAGACGAGATATAATTGATCATGTTTGTAAATGTAACCAAATTTTACAAAAACTCAAAATCTATACTTATATAATAAGAATTAACATTTATCCAAAATAGTAGGTCAAATTATGGTCAATGTCGGATTTGCATTAAATATTTTCCAAAATTGGTAAGTGTTTGTCCTTTTCACACTTCTCATTAATTATGTATTTTTCACACTTCTCATTAATTATGTTCTTTTCACACTTCTCATTAATTATGTCCTTTTCACACTCTCATTAATTATGTCCTTTTCACACTTCTCATTAATTATGTCATTTTCACACATCTAATTAATTCATTAATTACAACATAATTATCATAAATCATTCCATCTGACCTTTTATCGTTAAAATGTATAACAATCTGTTATGACCTTATCCCATTGATATTTCTATGAAGCGTCCTTATCGCGTTCTATTTTTTGGTAACCACTCTATATCAATAACCACCGGATATTTGGATAATGATAGCACACGTCTTTATTTCAAGGAGCAGATATTCTTTGACCTTTAATTAATCTGAACTGATTGCCTTGACTTTTCAATTTTTAAAAACTCTTTTTTTAAATATTTCGGCTTAAGATTCGGATTTCATTATACAAGTCATAGGATTGTTTGAATGAAAATGAATAAAAAGAACACAAAAAACAGGTAACCTTATTCATATAACCAATCCTAAAATATTAGTTTGTTCAACAAAAAGAGACAAATCCTAGAAATCCTAAAATATTAGTTTGTTCACCAATCCTAAAATATTAGTTTGTTCACCAAAAATATTAGTTTGATTTTTAGGATTTGTCTCTTTTGAAAATATTAGTTTGTGATAATGAGGAGTTACCAAATAATCAAACTCATAATGTTGTGTACAAGGAGGTTTTTAATAATATATGATTGTTACCGAACTTTTTATGATTCAACAATGTTCCTATGTATTTTAATGATTTCAATTTCGATCATAATGCACGTGAGGTTATATTATTCTTCCAAAATTTACATCCCGTGCATCGCACGGGTTACGTACTAGTTGTGAGAAAAACAAATCATAACATTTACTTTTTGTACCCAAAAAAAGAAGAAAGAAATCATAACATTTACTTTCATTACAATTTAAGTTGAATGTTTTTAGTTGCCACAAAAAATGAAGAAAGAAATCATAACATTTACTTTCATTACAATTTAAGTTGAATGTTTTTAGTTTTGGCAATTAAAGTCACGATTTTTCGACACTTTTTGCAATGTAAGACATGAACTAAACTTCTAGAGTCA